TCCCAAATTAAGTGTTTTTTTTTTCAAAATTAAACATGAAGAATGAATATATGCATTATTTTATGTTCGCATTCAATTCTCAATTAAGCATCGATTTTTAAATAAACTGCTTTAGACCAAGCAATCTTTTACTTGACTGGAAACCCAGTAGTTTAACAGTAAACAACTTGTATAAATAAATAAATTGTTGTTCACTGCTGGTGGTTATTTTATATAGCGACACCTGTTGAGTTGAGGTTTTTCCCATTTTTTGTGGCTTAATGCTAATTAGCTTTTTTTAAATCAGTATGGATATATTTATATTTAGATTTTTTTGTATTTTTGCGCTGGAAAAACCTAATTTTAACCGCTATAGAATGGGAAAATGTAATTTTTCGGGGAAGCGAGCTGTACCCGCACTAAAGGTAAACATTGATATAAAGTGGAACTTTTTACCGAAGACGCACTGCAATGATCCCAAGCCATCGAAGATATATTCGAATGAATTTCATTCGGGTTCAAATCAATCATCCGCCTAAATCTTCACATTCCTTTAATGTGAATTGTGCAACTACTGACGAATTTCTTAATAATCAGTCAATCTGTTCGGTTTAATGAACCGACACCTTGAGCGCATTAGTTACACTTGGAAAAAATGAACTTCTCTGAGAAAATTACCCGCATTGTTGTTCTAAGATTGCTGGTAGATAAGTGCAATAAGAGTCGTATTTCATGTGGATCACTGAAATCTGTTCGCCTTTTTACGGTGACCTTAAGCTGATAGTCTTTGGAACAATAATGCGATAATGTTCATTGTTATATAACTTTGCTCTCCAAAATTTTCCATCGTCCTTTCGCTGTTGTTTTCTGGTTTGTATGTTTGATTTGATCTTATTACCAAATATCTGCTGCATATTTAATTTGTTCATCTTCTGCTTGGCAAAGTTTTGGAAATGTTTTCTGTTTGAACATAAAATCGTTAACCCTAAAAACACAACTGATTACCTTGAAAGGGAAATAAATTAAATATAATGTATTTGACTATTTTTCTACCAAATTGGACTTAACGACGTTTAAAGATGCTAGTCATCCAAAGCCTAAAGCCCGACCACAAACTAAAGATAATCTCAGCTCAAATTGCTCATTAAAGCTAATTGCTACGTTCAAAATACTTTTTTCAGATCTATTACCGATTCCCGGGGAAAAATACAAAATTCTAATAACTTTAACGAGCCTGAGCAAACAGGATGTTTAGGTTTATTATGTTTTATTCGCACGTAATTTAAAGTATTAAGCATTTGGCGCGTTCCGTAGTCAATAAGCATTAACTCAATATTTGTTAGACTTCCCTTAGTTTCACGTAACCAATGCGTAAAATTTGACGCTTTTTGATTGCATTTTAATGTAATTTATCAAGCTTTGCTTAGCAGCAATTATAAAGTCAATTTATTGCTTGCGTTTAGTCGTAAATTTGTTCTTTCCACAGTTTGACAAATATTTATCGGGCAAAAATGTAATTCGATCTCTTGTTAACTGAGTTTTACTCGTTGTTTCATTTCAAGTTTAACATTCTTTTGAATAGCACATTAACTGCTACTGACTAATCTTGAGACCCACATTTACTAAGCTGGAAATAATCAGGAATTGGGGCGATATTTATGAAACTTAGTCCAGTGTCGTATAAATAATTTAAAAAAATTAAGTCGCTACTTGCATTCGTTTGAATGATGTAAATTTTTAAAGGAGAGAGTTCACTTGAGTAAACGCACCCAATGTTGAACTGATATTCACTAATTTTGAGACCGACTTTTACTAAGCTGGCAAAAATCCGAATTCTGAGCGATTTTTGCAAAACTTGTCACACCTTTAGCCTCAAATGTTTTCTAAGGATGCTAAAAATTTCAAGTTGCTACTTGGTTTAGTTTGCAAGGTTCGAATTTTTAAACAAAAAGCGGCGTTGTGTAAAAAACCAGCGATTTTGAGGCCGATATTTACGAAGCTCGAAAATATCAGAACTCTGGGCGATTTTTTCAAAACTTTCAGAATATTTCAAGTCGAACGTTTCTTAAAGATGGCAAGAATTTTAATTCCTTTCTTACTTTGGGCTAGAAAATGCGAATTTTGAAAAGGAGAGCGCCGTTTAGGATACACTTCCAATATTGGACTGATTTTGACTATATTGGGGATTTTTTTGGAAGATAGACACAATGAAATCTCTTTACTTTTTTTACCAAACAGTCAGCATATTTAAAGTACAATATTTGCGTTACTTGCTTTCCAGTGAAAACTCAAAAGTTTTAAAGTGGAGAGCGGGCTTGAAGAAACATCCATTAAGCACTGATATTGACTACTCTAGAGACCAACATTTACTAAGCTGGAATTGTACATACTTTCTTGACTGTGTTTCAATTCCAAATCAAAATCAATTCCTGGGCTTCAGTCATTTATTGTCTATTTATCAATTAAAATACGTTTCGGTGTTGCATAAATGCCAAAGCTTAAAGTAGCAACAACGCTACACATAGAAACTGATGATGGTGGAAAACACCGAAACGTATTTTAATTGATAAATAGACAATAAATGACTAAGCTGGAATGGAAATAATCAGGAATTGGGGCGATTTTTATGAAACTTCCAGTCTCTTTAGACTAGTATTTTCTAAAGACCGACAAAATTTCAGGTTGCTACTTGCATTTATTTCAAAGACTTCAATTTTTAAAAGAAAAAATGCGCTTCTGTAAAAAGGTCTATTTCAGGGCTCGAAAAAATTAGTACTCGAGGAGATTTTTACCGAACTTTCTGCGTATTTACAGAAGAATGTGTTTTAAAGATGGAAAACATTTTGCTGCCTATTTTCTTTTCCAAGATGCAAATTTTGATTGGGGAAAGCACCGTTGAGGAAACATCATTTATTAAGGTTTCCCGCATTTACCCGCATTACCTCACAAAGGTCATCATTCTGGGCAATTTTTATGAAACCCTCAGTATCTCTAGAATAAAGTTTTTTCTCAAAGAGGTATTAATGTCAGTTTAAAAGACAAAGCCCAATTTAATAAGGAAACATAATTTGAACCGACATTTATAAATCTTGAAAAAATCAGAACTTTGGGTCATTTTCACCAAACGTTCGGCAGATTTAGTCTAATGTCTTCTAGAAACGGTAGAAATTTCAAGTCGCTACTGTAAATTTGTGAAGAAAATAGTGCATTTGAATAAACACACCCAATGTTGAACTGATTTTTACTAATTTTGAGACCGACTTTTATTAAGCTGGCAAAAATCCGAATTGTGAGCGATCTTTGCAAAACTTTTCGCACCTTTAGACTCAACTGTTTTCTAATCATGCTCAAAATTTCAAGGTGCTACTTGCTTTAATTTGCAAGATTCGAATTTTTCGAAATCGAAGAAAAAAGCGCCGTTAAATAAAAATCCACCTATTTTGAGGCCGATATTTACGAAGCTCGAAAATATCACAACTCTGGGCAATTTTTTTCCAAACTTTCAGAATGTTTGGAGTCGAACGTTTTCTAAAGAATTTCAAGTGTCTTCTTACTTTGCGCTAGAAAATGCGAATATTGGAAAGGAGAGCGCCGTTTAGGATAAACTTTCATTATTGGACTGATATTGAATAATTTGGGGATTTTTTTCCAAGGCGGACACAATCAGATTTCTTGGCGTTTTTTTACCAAACATTCAGCATATTTAAAGTCCACTATTTGCGTTACTTGCTGTCCTGTGAAGGATGAAGAGTTTTAAAGTAGAAAACGGAGTTGAGGAAACATCCATTAATGCACTGATATTGACTGCTCTTGAGACCGACATTTACTAAGCTGGAAATAATCAGGAATTGGGGCGATTTTTATGAAACTTCCAGTATCTTTAGAGACCAGTGTTGTCCAAAGACCGAAAAAGTTTCCACTTGCTACTTCCGTTCATTGCAAACATTGAAATTTTTTAACGGAAAAGCGTAGTTCTGTAAAGCTATACATTTGGAGACCGATAATTACAGGACTCGAAAAAATTTGTAGTAGAGAAAAAAAGTAGAGAGCGCACTTGATGTTGAACCGATATTTATTTAGTTGGAGACGCACTTTTACTAAGCTGGCAAAAATCCGATTTCAGAGAGATTTTTATAAATCTTTTAGTACTTTTAGAGCCAAATGTTTTCTAAGGGTAGTAATAATTTCAAGTTGCTACCTGCTTTTATTTGAATGCTCAAGAAAAAGGCGCAGTTGAGTTACTGACATCCATTTTGAGGCCGATATTTACGAAGCTCGAAAATATCAGAACTCAAAAATCTTTACTCGCTTGTTACTTCGCTTTAGGAAATGCAAATTTTAAAATGGAGAGCGCCGTTGAGAAAACGGCTATTATTGCATTTATATCGACTAATTTTAGGGCTCTCATTTACTACGCTGGGCACAATCAGAATTCTGGGTCATTTATATGGAACTTTCAGAATCTTTAGAGTCAAGTGTAAGTTAAACATGCAAAAAATTCAAGTAGCTGCTGGCATTTATTTGAAAAATTTGCATTTTAAAGGAGAAAGTGCAGTTGACTTTTGAGACCGATAATTACGACGCTTCAAAAATCAGAACTTTTGATGATTTGTACTAAATTCCATATTTAGAATATATTTTCATATCTTTGTTAAATATGGTAAAAAATGTAAGTTGCCGCGTGCCTTCCTTTAGAAGATGCGAGTTTCTAAAGCGGAGAACGCACTTGAGGTAAGCCACCCATTATTGGACTGATATTGACTAATCTTGAGACCCGCATTTACTAAGCTGAAAAAATCAAGCTTTCAGACCATTTTGATGAAACTTTTGTCACCTTTAGAATCAAGTGTTTTCTAAGGATGGTTAAAATTTCAACTCGCTACTGGCCTTAGTCAGGAAGGAAGGAAGATTTGACTTTTTATTGCATAATGGCTGTTATTGACTCATGGTTAGGATTTAAAAAATCGTCGAAAGAGGCCCAATCTTCATGTTATTTCAGTTTAAAACGCAAATAAAGGGACTAATTAATAAATATGTTTATTGTAAATAACCGTTGTGTTGGCAGTAAACACTAAGTTTTACTATTGGTTATTAACTACTATAGGAACTTTGCTGGAAACATAAATATGCTGTGGTTTCATTCTTCATTGGGTTGATTAATTGATGTTTGAAGCACTGAACCCTGAAACAAAAAATGCTAATTAGTTGAATCAAGAGAAGAACAGGGCCATAACAAAGACAAAATAAGCGTAAAAATGTCCACAAAAACAAGACCAGAGGATGGTGAAAAACCAAATTGACTAAATTTACATTGAAGATGAAATGTTAAAAAATGTATGCTTCAATCATCATCAATTCAGATGATGGTTTGGGCACAATCTAAGCATCGCAAGAATTAATATTAAATTAAGAAATATTACTGATGTTCTTAATTGAGAAAAACTCTTTTAAACGGATAGTCCATTGGAGATGACGATGGCACGTGCAGAAAAGAATGTAATCTCCATCATTTTATATTATGAAAAACAACCGGATTCTCTTGTTTTTTTACTTACCAACAGCAAACTTAGACGGTAAGTGTTGTATGGATACAGTTCAAAAAACTTGTGGCACGTCCTGCAATTGTGAATACCACACTTGATTATTGGGTGTGTGTTGGAAACGTGTCTCTGATACGTGCCGTAGAGTCTTTGGATAAGCGATATGGTAAGAATCTGCCACTCCAATTTTATCCTCATTGTGCAAACCCTGACAATCGATAGTTGCAAGTAAAAACTTCTAAACACTCCCGGTTTATCGTATAACTTTGCGGCCTTTAGTGAACCTTCTTGACTATTCCTCAACTAAAGAAGTTGACTCTGCTATGAAAATTGCTAAACTGAAGATCTTCACTGTGGCTTTCTGTCCATCCAGCTTTGCCTATCCCCCTTAAATCTTATTTAACTCTCAACACCACTATGCAACATTTTAAAGAAATTTTCACAGCTCCCGAGTGCACAAAGAACCCGAAGTGTTAAGTGGCATCAACACAGCGTTCAATAGACAAAAAGTACCTAAATCAAAAGCATATCTGGAAACCTCAGTTGGTACCACCTCTCACAGATATAAACATAAACAAAAAATTGTATCTTTACGGGTAAAAGACAATCGGTTCTTGCACCTTTCAATGTCGCACAGATATGTTAACAACTGACCCTTCTCTGTGGAGGTCTTTGATTTGTGGACAATCCAGATGAAGAAAATATAATAAAATGTCGACAAAAGCTTTAGCTATCACAAGATTTTCTTGTAACCGTTGTATTCAAGTCGAAAACTGATCTATTAGTTCCAGCAAAGATTCCAACTTCCTACTTGTTGTTTCATTAAATCAATTTTAATTAAACTAAAATACCAGTATATAATTATTGGAATATAAATAATTTACAAACGACCGAATAAAGCTGCAGCTGAAATGACGCTCCTTACTTGGTGCGCCCCCTAATAATATGCGTTGGTCAAGGTTGGAACCATTCAATTTAAAGAGCGATGTTGCCAATAGTTCTGATTTTGTTGCAGAACTGCAGAAACTGCAGTGTTTTGGCTATACATTCATTCACTGGTATGCTTTAAATGCGATTTTTTTCATCCATCCCTCAGGTGTAGCCTAATTTAAGGTCCCGAATATGAACCGAAACCGCTTTTCAACCCCATGAAATCGACCCAAAGTTACAAAAGCCCCAATTCTATTATGGTAGGTCATTTGCAAATATGCGAGCTTTGCATTGTACCCACTTTCTCTCATCGTTCCCATTGTATGTACAAGTCAACGACATCCGTAGGGGAGAGCACATGTAAACCATGCTTCCAAATCGGAAATCACTGTTTATGTTCATGCCCGGTTTTCTGATTGGAGTTTGTAGCAGTACCACTGTTTGGAGCCTTAACGACTGCGCGTGTGTATTTCAATCACTTGGTTCCACTGGTACTAAAGTAAATTTTCAGTGCGATTGAATCACTGTCTTAGTTCGAGTTTGACGCGAAAAATCGCTGCTTAAAACCATCAAGATGACCGGTTCTGATGTTACAGGTACCACCAAAAGCAAATGCGTTTGCGACGACGGCAATGAGGAACCCAGCTCTTCTCAGCTTGTAGGTAAGTAACTATCCGCTTTGAAGCTCGAAACGATTGTCTCTAAACAGGTTCTAAGTTGGTACATTTTTGGCCTTTTTTTCTACCAACCTTGACTCAACAAGGTTTTTGTTAAGTTGGTCAATGGTACCATGTTGGTACGTTCACACATGCCGGGTCAACGCTGGAAAGTCCGAGCCTTGTTTGTTTACTCGAAGTTATCCGAATGTTAAGACCCCGTTTTTTATATAATTTTTGTTTACATTGTTGCATTTTTCGAAACCGGTTTTATTTGAGTCACAACGGTTCACTTTAAGCTGGTTTAAAGTTTGGGTTTTCATATCGTTTTCTGAATTGATTTTTTTAGTAAACATTTTGTTTTCATACTTGCTTTTTCCGTCTTTACACTTTTTTTCTAGAAATGTATTTAATTTTCTATTTCTCGTGGTTCTCCCTGCGGTTTTTTGTCCACGTTTAATTTGATTTGCTGATATTGTTAATATCAATTTTTTTTGCGCTTCTAGAGCTTTCTGGTCTTATTTTAGAATTGCATCAACTTTCTTGTTCATTTTATTGTGGCATAATATATGAGTTATTTTTCACTCGTGCTCTCCACAATTTTTTACTGGTTTATTGCGTAGTCACATCATTTTTACTATACTTTGGACATTTGCTTGCTTTAATATTTTTGTCGTAATTGTAATTTTAACATCAGCCTGTTTATGAACGCTTTTCTGAAAATTTTTAGTATACTTTTAATTTTTCTAGAAATTTTATTTTAAATGATCTGTAATAAAATAGGCTCTAAAACAATTCATTATTTTGTTCGGTGTTTCATTGTTTCAACTACCTAACTTTTGTTAAAACTTGGTTAAAATTGTTTTTCCTGTCGCTTTTGTTTTCGTTGTTGTCTTTGATATTCTTCGTTTATTTTTCTAGTATTGATCTCGAATTTAATTTTTTGTTTGAGGGAAAAAGTCTTGTGATCTTTTAGCGCTTACTAAATTAGTAACTTTGGTTTAGTTATTTCTTTATTTTCATTTTTAAGTCTAGGGATTATTTGCTCCCGCTGTCCTGTCGTCGATTTTCTAAGTTGCTCTTTCTAACCCATCTCTCGAGTTTCATTTTCTCCTCGCTTTATAATTGTTTATTTTTTAGCTTTTTACTACACCTGTTCACATTCATTCACGCCCAAATTTGCAGTATTTTGATTTTACTCCGTGTTCCTGTTTGTTTTGCTTTCTGTTCAGTAACACTTTTCTGTTTTTTTCTTTCGATTTTCGATAGAATTGTTGTTGTTCTGTGTTGATTTTTAATTTGCCAAAAAATGTTTTCTGTTGTATTTCTAGGTGCTTATACTGTATAATTTAAATAATTAACTTAATATCAGCATTTGCTTTGCTGGCAATTTTTTGTGTGCTTCTTTCTCTCTATTTGCTACTTATTTGTATGTCTGTTTTTTATGATAAATAATTTATCGTAAATTTGGGCTTAAAACAATTCAGTATTTTGTTTGATGTTTGTTTCATTGCTATTTTCGTCAAAACATTTATATTTGACCACATTTTTCAACTGCTTAATTTTACTTGCAGCCTTCTTATGTTAGCTTTGCTCTCTCATTTCGGTTGATTCTCTTCTTAAATCTGGGCAATTACTTTTATTGTTGTTTTTTCTCATTTGTTACCTTTGCTTTTTTTGGTTTACCTTTCTAGCACCGGTTTCGAATTTAAATTTCTGTTTGAGGCCAAAAAGTCTTGTGATTTTTTTGCGTCTAGTAAATTATTTACTTCGGTTTAGTTATTCCTCTATTTTCATTTTTAATTCGTCTGATTATTTGCTCTCACCCTCCTGTCGTCGGTTTTCTCACTTACTCTTGGCTCTTCTCTTTAGCTTAATTTTCCTTTAACTACACATGTTTTGTTCTGGTCTTCACTTCATTCACATCCAAATTTGCAGTATATTTATTTTGCTTCACGCTCCTGTTTCTTTCCTTTATTGTTCAACAACACTTTTCAATTTAAAATAGAATTTATTTTGATCTGTGTTGATTTTCAATTTGCCAAGAAATTGTTATCTGTTGTATTTGTAGTTGCTTTTGCTATGTAATTTTAGTGTTTTTAAGAAGCACGAGCTTTATACATACATTTTCTGTGCATACTCTTGTCTTCTACTCATTGTTTAATTCGATTAATTTTCGCACCTTTATATCTTGTATATTTTATATTTTCAACTGTTTAATATAATTTCTAGTTTTTCTACATTATTAATTTAGTTAATTATCTTTGAACTTTCGAGCAATTGGTTTTCTGTCGCTTCGGCTTTGTTGTTCCCTTTGCTTTTTTTGTATCTTTTTGAAGTAAAACTGTCTTATGATCTCTTCGCGTTTTCTAACTTATTTACTTCGTTTTAGCTTATGACCCCATTTATTCTCATTTTTAATCCGTGTGATTATTTACTTTTACTTTCCTGTCGTTGAATTTCTAAATTTATTTTGCAAGCACAACATTACTTTTATTTTGCTTATGTTCTAGTTTCCTTTCTTCGCTTTGAATTAAATTTTGTAATCTTTCTCTGTCGCTTTTGAAGGTAGAATCATTTTTATTCTGTGTTGATTTTTTGTTTGCCAAGATATTATATTTCCTATTTTCACAATGGTTCACTTTCAGTTGGTTTTAAGTTTGGGTTTTCATATCGTTTTCTGAGTTCATTTTTTTCGTAAACATTTTGTTTTCATATTTGATTATTGATTTTACTTTACTGTTATTAAATATTTTTCGCTCTTTTATACCGTGTATATTTTACATTTTCAACTGTTTAATATCCTTTCTAGTTTTCTTTCATTATTAATTTAGTTAATTCTCTTTGAACTTTCGAGCAATTGTTTTCATGTCGCTTCGGCTTTGTTGTTGCCTTTGCTTTTTTGGTGTCTTTTTGAAGTAAAACTGTCTTATGATCTCCTTGTCTTGTTTCCTTTCTTTGTTTTCAAATTCATTTTTTAAATCTTTCTTTGTTCTGTTGATTTTTTGGTTGCCAAGAAGTTAGATTTCCTATTTTCTGTTATATTTCTAGTTGTTTCTTGCGATAGTTTAAGTTTTGTTAAGAAGCAAGCTTTATAGATGGATTTTCTTTTGGTGTCAAAAATAGTAACAAAAAAATAAATAAATCACAATAATCAAAATTAAGTTACTTCATTAAAAACGGACAAAATTGGCTAAAAATGTCCAGAGCGGTAACATTTTTTAAGTGATTAAAACTCAAACTTTGAATAATGCAATTAATATAAAAATATAACAAAAATATTCTAAATTCTTCATTGTTCTGAACTGTTAGAGGATTTTAAAAATATTCTTGTTGGCTTTGTTTAGTCAATGTTACCTTTATTTTTTGCTACAGTTATCCGAGTTTAATCTTACTAAGTTGACTTGCCCTTTCGCAAAAAATCGTATTTGGCAAATGTATACTTGCCTCAATTATATATACAGGGTGAAATTGTCATCCTAATAATTATATATCCGCGAGAACATTCGTTGCGTTTTCGAGGTGATTTTCGATGAAGTAAAGAATCAATTTACGTGGAAGAAATTAATTTTTCTAAATTACTTTCTAATTTCTCATGCATTTTCTTGCCACATCAAAAGCTTAATTAATATCCGTAAAATCGTTTAATTAGTATGAAATATAATGGTGATCCTTTCCACATGTCGCACATCATTTAGCAATAATTATGTTATAATCCAATAATGTTCAGATAAAGCATTAATAGACTTGTTGCTTTTTGTTTGCTTGAAAGCAGCAATCTGAGTGGTTTTTATGGTTGTGGTTCCAGAACCATTAGTCATTAGTTTGAAAGTCATATTTGAGGTCTATAAATTCCATGATGTTTAATTCGTCTTCTAATAATTCCTCTTTTTTTATTTCTGCGTCCAGCATAATTTGCTTTAAACTGTTGAAGTATTTTTAATGTTCTGTTCGCTTATCAAGCGCTTCCCGATTAGAATGTCTGTGGAATTTCTTAATTATCGCACTAGACTAATGGCTTTTAAACAATTATTTTCTAGAGGATCATGAGGCCCATGTGCTGGTAGCCGAATGGAGATTGCATAAATTCCAGTCGCCTATAGAGCTTAGCCATGACGAGAGTATCAGTCATGACCATTTCGACCCATTGGAATTTCACGGGCATTGGGACAAAACTGGGGAGGCCACTTTCGAAAATACCGGAAAAACTGGTAAGCAGTGGTTTTCTCTAAATCAATCCTAGAACTTTTCCATGACTGCGTCCAAAATCAGTTACATCATCTGAAATTGTCGTTCAAATTAGCACTTTGCAACAGGTTTGGAACTCGTTCAAGCTGGAAAGGTGCTAAAACGAGTCGGCCTAAAACCAATAAAAGCCGTGTTAACATTAACTGATAAATTTGCAAAAAAATGCAAAAACAGTCGCGCTTTCCAGTGCTAATTGTTGCACGGAATATTTAATATTTCGACTATTGTTTAATGCCACCTTGTTAATAAGTCAACAAATATGACACATTCAGTGCAGAATCAACAATATTTTAAACGTCTCAATTAGCGCTTAAAGCTCGCAAACGGATGAGACAACGTGGATGATAAACACAACCAAAACTGAATAATTCATTAAATATTTTCCTGATATGCACATAAGTGGATTACCGTCTGTCTAGCCACTTATTTAAGCATTTATATGTGAACCAAGTGCCGATGGAAAAATTACAAACCGAACAGAATTTAAATTCGATTTATATACAGGGTGTTGCAAATGTAATATTAAAAAAATATTTATTCTAAATGGAAACTGTTATTACTATTATTCTCAATAGTTCTTTAGTGCTTTAGGTTTTATTGCATAATAATTTATCATACTGACTTATAGACACATAGAAAGTTCAAAGACAAAAGTTTAGACAAATTTCATCGTGATTTTTATGTTGGCAGAGCTCTACATTATACAGGGTGATTCAGGTTTTAATCAGGAAAATGGAAAAGGAGATACAACTTACGAAAATATGTAGACGCGTCAATGTAAACATATACAAACTGTATCTTTTGAGTGTTGAAGTTGTAAAATTTTTTTGCTTAAAATCTTGCATTTAGTACAGCATCTTCTATGTTATTTGCAAAATGTGGCAACATTTTTTTTGTCTTCAAGCTAGTTTTATTACAAATAACAAAAACTGTCAAAGATTTCGAAAAATTGCGAGAGACGGAAAATCGACCTAATTAAAAGGAAATTAAACAAAATTATCGCTGCTCCTCAGTAGCGCACCACCAAAAAAGTTCGAGGGTTAAACGGGAAAATGACCTCAAAGAAATGTCATCCTATATATTTTTACAGTCGTTTGTCACCTTTATAGATATAAGCCTTAAAGCGTGATCTACAGTAGATATTTAAAATAAATACATGAGAAACTACAGAAATAAGAGCGAAAAAACAACAAATACAACAAGTTTGTATTAACCGAATAAACTTGCAATAACACGTTTATAATAAAAAAGTATTTTATAGTATACAGTTTTTTAATAAAAGAGACTCAATTGAATAAGGAATTAAAATACATGGCTGTAAAAAATGGATCACACTGTATATTTTTACAGCTACAATAGAAAATTGCAATAAATATCTGAAAACCTGCAGCAATTAGAGTAAAAAACACAATAAATTTGGATTACAATGAGCTTAAAACGTTTATGGTAGTCAAAGTGCCAGTAAAAGCTGTTATACGTAGTGCACCCTGTAAATAAAATCCTGCATTTAATGTAAATTTTCAAACATACAAGCGCGAAGAGAAAATTTTAAATTGATCCAAACTCGAAACCTAAATAGACTGGCCTTTTTTAGAGGTTTAAAAAGCTCTATAGAAAAGGTTCTAATGATAATTCAGATCTTTCCGGTCGTTTTACGTTTCATCAATTCGTAAACTTCGACAGTTGTTTAAAAGTTGACTTTTTGCTTCTTAACTTCTTAGAGGTTAAGAAAAAGTAAGAAGAAGTTTTTAGAGGTTAAGAATTGTGCGTCAAACTTTAAAAACTTTAAAAGGAAAAGACAGACGTAACGATGCTTTATCAAAAAAGTTCTAATGATTATTCAGATATTTTCAGCCGTTTGCGTGTTATGAGCTGGTGAACTTCAACGGCCCATTAAAAGTCGACAGTTTTGCTCCTAACTTTTTAGAGGTTAGAAATTTTGCTTCAAACCGCTGGACTTGGAATGGAAAAGTCAGTTTTAAAGACGCTCTATCAGAAAGTGTCTAATGATTGTTCAGATTTTTCCAGCCGTTTGCGTGTTTTGAACTCGTCAATTTTGACGGCTGTTTAAAAGTTGACTTTTTGCTCCTAACTTTTTAGAGGTTAAGAATTTTACTTAAAACCGCGAATGTAAAAGACAGTTTTAAAGACGCTCTATTGGAAAATGTCTAATGATTGTTCAGATATTTCCAGTCGTGCGCGTGTTCTGAACCCGTAAACTTTGACGGTTGTTTAAAAGTTGATTTTATGCTTCCAACTTTTGAGAGGTTAAGAAATATTTCGAGCCGCTTGCGTGTTAGGAACTCCTGAACTTTGACGGTTGATTAAAAGTTGAGTTTAAACGAATTTTACACTTTTTTTCTTTTACAATCATCTGATTCTTCATCAAGTTTCCAAGTTGTCCAAATACATATTAATTAAATTACTAACTATGAAATTTGTATTTAATTTTCAGCCGTAATTCGCTTCCAACGTAAAGAACTTCCGTATCTGTTTGGAGGGCCGCTTCATAACGACGTTTACCTCTTCGAGCAACTCCATTTCCACTGGAGCGACAACGACAATGAGGGATGTGAGCACATTTTCGAGGGCAAAGCGTAAGTGTTAATTGTGCAAAAAATCCTCAATTTTCCATGTTTAAAATTTGCAAATCAATCAGGCTAATGAAACTAATTACCGGGAAAACACAAAAGGGAATTACGGTTTATTGGTTTTCGAATGGCAATGAAACAGCACCATAAATAGCGAATCGATCGATATCAAGGTGAACGGAGTTTTGCGGCTAAACTGGTTCCAAGTGCGTACAATTGGCAATTTTCCATTATTCCTGCCTGTAGGTATTCTATGGAGGTGCATGCTGTGCACTACAACAAGAAGTACAATACATTCAAAGAGGCAGTGGACAAGCCGGATGGTTTGGCTGTTATCGGGTTCTTCTTGGAAGCCACTGATAATGACGATAATCCCTGCTTCAAAAAATTAACTGCTGCAGTCCAGAACATCATCAAAGTTAACACGTCGACCACGGTAGCACCAGGTGAGTTTTTACATTTTGGATTAGGAATTTTTCGCTGCTACAAACTTCCAAGCCTGAAGAAGATAAAAATGTAACACTTTCTGGAATTTTGAAAAAAATTGGAATTTGCACCCAGTTTTGCAGGCTGTAAAATGAAAATTAGAAAGTATCAACACAGCCGGCAAAAAATATGAAATTTTGCTTATGCATAAACAAGGGCCCATTTTATGTCTCACGAAGAACTTGAGTCTGATTAAAGAACTCTGGAATTTTTTAAAGAGATTCAATTTTTTTTTTCAAATTGCCCCCAGTTTTACAGGTCTTTACATAAAAATTGCACACTCCTAAACCTGAAAAGGCAGAGTTTTGATATTTTGTCCGTGCAAAGGCCCAGCAACTGGCCCAGAGAAAACTAGTCTGGATTAGAATTAAACCGGATTTTTGCGCAGTTTGGAAAATCCATCCTCAAACTGCAACAACCTTTGCAAGCTTTCTTCTGCAAACTTCCGAACTATTCAGAGCTTTGAAGCTTTGCCCATGCATCAGCACGCACCCAGTATATTTATTTTGAACTTAAATCAAGCTTCAAATAATAGTTGAAAAAGTTTAGTTGGAATTTGTGAAAATGTTCCAATTTGCCTCTCAAATAGCTCCCGCTTCTACAGACTTGCAAATAAAAATTCTATACTTTGAAAACCACCGACCAAAAAAGTTTTAAATTGCATGTGCTTAAAACAAGGTCCATTATATATTGCAGAATAAACTACAGTGCGATTAGAACTTTCTGAAATAAAAAAAAAATCGAATTTCCCTCTTAAATGCTCCCACTTTTGCAGGCTGTAAAATAAAAATTCTAAATTTTCAAAACCAGCACACAAAGAAGTTTTAAATTTTGACTATGCATAAACATGTTATGTCGCAGAAGAAGCGACAGTCAGAGCTTTGAGCAATTTGTGAAAAATGTTCGAATTTGTCTGAAATTACATTTAG